GCCATCCTCTTTCTGGTGTCTCAGTTATCTCCCTTTAACTCATCTCTCCAAGATTTTGCTCACTACTGCAATAGCCAGGTATTGAACTCACAACTCTTTAAGTTAAGTCAATGGATGCAACTAATGCTTTTATCCACTGGGCCATGTGTCCTTGAAGAAGACCGGGACGTACAACGGCCGAAATTCCGTGAATATGGCAACAAAGATGAGGACAACAGCCCGAACATTGTAAATAGTGTAGATAATTACAATACCTCATCTCAGAAATATAGACATGTATATATATATATATATATATATATAGAGAGAGAGAGAGAGAGAGGAGAGAGAGAGAGAAAGAGAGAGAGAGAGAGAAAGAATAGACGCAAAATTTAAAAGTATATAGCATATCAAGTTCTCAGCGAAAAGACTAAAACATAATAGATTATGGTGACTTTCTAAGCGTATCTTAGATGTGGCACAAGGCCGAATGTGTAGAGAATCCAGTGAGGGTCGAACTAACTGTTCAATCGTAATTGATCGAGAGAAACAATCTTGTTAACCATTACACCACTTCGAAGTGCCCCCCGCCTAAAAGCATTTTTATTAAATGTTTAACACCGAAAAGAACATTCAGAAACCTACGTCAGTGAGAACGCATTTGTGAACGCATCATCATCACCACCATCATCATCATCATCATCTCCACCATCACCACCACCACCACCACCACCACCACCATCATGACTATCACCAGCATTATCATCACCACCACCACCATCACCATCATCATCACCATCACAACCACCATCATCACCACCATCATCATCACCACCATCATCACCACCACCATCATCATCATAATCATTATCACCACCACCACCACGACCATCATCATCATCACCACCACCACAACCATCATCATCATCATCACCATCACCACCATAATCAACATCACAACCACCATCACCATCATCATTACCACCATCACCATCACCACCGTCATATTCACCACCACCACTATCACCACTACCACCACCATCACCATCATCATCACTACCATCATCACACCATCACTATCATCATCACCACCACCACCATCGTCACCACCAACACCATCACCATCATCATCACCACCATCATCATCACCACCATCATCATCACCACCACCACCACTACCATCATCGCCATCATCATCACCACCACCATCACCACCATCATCATCATCACAACCCCACCACCATCATCATCACCACTATAATCATCATCATCATCATCATCATCACCACCACCACCACCATCATCATCACCAAACCCTTGGGTGGGAATCAGTTTAATCGGCGATAACCCGACCATACGGCGGTAGGTACTGGATTACATGGTGTAAAATAAATCTTAACCAGAGAGTGACCAGTCATTTGTGAGTACATATGTTTGAGTAGACATCTCTTTTTAAATAGTGAAATTCATGTCTACTGAGTTTTATCGTCAAAATCTTCGTTAAGAGTAAAGACCGAAGAATTTTTTGATTATTAAATAATTTCTTCTTTTTTTATATCCTTTTTAGAGCGTTCGAAATTTTGTTTCAAATCTTTCTTTTTTTCATGAGCGGTGGAAAAGTGGTGGAGTGACAAAGATTAGTAGAGGAAAATGTCTTTTTTGCGGTGCAACACATTGATTTGGAAATTCTTGCTAAAATCAAATAATGGTGGGATTTTAATAAAAATTTCAGCGCTTATTCACAAATGAATGAAATTATTTTAGAAATGTTTTTTTTAGAAAATCTTCGTAAAAATATTTTTTTACATCTGTTACCCTCCCCCTACACACACACACTCATTTAATTTTAAGAAATTTCGAGAAATCAGATTTTGTAGAGCTGAATTTTTATATTAGTTATACACAGAAATCCTTGAAGAATGTAAATCAATTTCTTTTTGTTAAACTGCACCCACAGTTACCGAAAATAAGCTTTAAATCGTAAAATAAAAAAAATTAAATAAAACTGAGATATTATTTAATTTTTTAATTGCTTTTATGAATCAGATATATTATGGACACTAATAACTTTTTACGAGATTTTTCATTTTTTTAAAAAATTAATTATAATAATTTATAAAGTTTTAAATCTTATTAAATTCCCGGTTAGGTGATATTTTTATTAAGTAAAACTATATTTACTAATCATAAATGGAAAAGCTTATTACAATTCAGTGACCCACAATATTTTTAAAAGAATTTTGAATTTTTTCTATGTGCATAAACTTGCCGATTTTTTGCAAGTACGGACGTTCATACACGGCATTAACAGAAAATAAGAGCGATAACTATAGTAAATTTAAAGCCAAAGTGTCTAAAATTCGATAAAACATTAGATTACGGATAATATTTTCGTAATTTTTTAAGATTATTGTGTAGTTGAAAATTGTGTACAAAAGACTCTCACGTTATATTCCTCAAGTAATTTTACAGATATATCCACCGTAGAAAAAAGTTAGATAAACTTCGTTCTGTCAGTCAAGCTGTCAACCTGGCGAAACCTTAAATAAACAGCTACCGTCGTGTTAAAAAAGGCATTTCTGCGATATATATTTAACTTAAAGTAAGTAAGATTTGATTCAAATCAGATTAATTCAATTTTAAATCAGTTAATATTCCTCAAATAAAGTTTCTGAGAAGTATATTTTATTTTTAGAAGATGTTTTATTAACGACAATTACGTTGTGATGACAGATGGCTGAAAATAGCGACAAAATTTGGGATTTTAGCGATTTCAAAAGAAACACTTTTTTTCCAGTCAATTTAATTTAGTTTTGAAATACGGCAGAGTATTTTGCTTACTAGAAATATTACATTTAATCTTTAATTTAAGTTAAAAATTCATTTTAAACCAAGGCATCGTGTTTCTGTGGAGGTAACTAATGTAAATATATACTTGAAATATATATATATATATATATATATATATATATATATATATATATATATATATATAGAGAGAGAGAGAGAGAGAGAGAGAGAGAGAGAGAGAGATAGATAGATATAAAAAATTATGGACACAGAAATCGACACTGGATCGCCACTGGCAATTGTACGACTTAAGCAATCATCAGAACATGGTCTGAATATCGCTTACGGTGTTAGACTGATAGTCACCATGCAGTCTTGATGTCTTTGTCCACACTGATTATATATGTGTCTACACGTGTCTCAGTGTCTTCGAGCAAGACCACACTTTGTTTCATTCTCCACATTCGTATCAATGTCCTTTGAAAAATCACCTCAAACAAAAAAAAAAAAATGATGGAATATCGGTTTCTCTACATGACTTATTTTACGGTTTATCGACCCTTTTGTAGGTTTTTAAAAGCTGAAACGTATTTCGGATTGTATGAGGTCATTTACAGTACCCGGTGTTGTGAAGTTTTCCTCCATTTAATTTTTAACTTAATGTTCGTAACTTAAGTAGGTATAAAACAATCTAAAGTCGTTACTATTTTATCATTGGACTAAGTATTTATTCACTACGAAATTAGGATCTTTTCTGTAAATTCAGCCCAAATAAGGTAAAGCTAATTATCGCAAGTATTAATTCATCCCAAGAAATTATAAATTTTAAATCAAAGTTTTTTTGTTTTGTTTTGTTTTTTTTTTTAAATTGTTTTGCATTCTTTTGAAATTATAAATTTTAAAATAAATCAAAATTTCTTTAGCTTGTCTCGCAACAACTCCAACCCTCGGAATGAAAAATTACCAAAAATCAGGGACTCATTCCCATTTTGTAAGAGCGGATGATATTTGAGGTACTTACAAGGATTTTTTTTATAATTTAAAAGAAATTTAAATTGGCTTGTTTATCGGGGTGATACGACACTTAGAAATAGCGTGACCCGAGTCGCCCACATTTCAAAGATCAACCCAACCAGAGTGCAATGGAAGTTCCTCGCTCTGAGAGAATTTTGTGTGAATTTTAGTAAAACAAATTCTTTTTATTTTGGTGTGAATTAATATTTTTGGGGGAAAAAAATCCCGATCGTAAATATAACTAGAAAGACTCGGAAAAATTTCACGGTTTTCCTATTTGAAATTTCTAATGAATATTAATTCTTAAGTTAATGATTGAATAAGAAACTCATGGCGAGTTCCACCACTATAAAATATCCGTAGAATTTCCTCTATCACACTGTTAAATATTTGAGCTTAACAATTTTAACAAAATAATAACAATCATAAATATGAATTCTGATCGTTATTTTAAGAAGTAAGGAGATACAGATAAAAAGATTTGAAACTGGCCATCTTTTTCATTTCACTGAAACAGACGTTAAACACTGCCATCTTCTTTCTTTCATTTTCTCACAAAAACCAAGTAGCGTCTCTGATATGCCATTTCCGTGTTTTCACGCTGTCAAAACGGAATAGTCCATTATTTATGAGGTATTGGCACGACGTAACGGTCATGCAAACTAAGAGACAAGCAGAATTATAACAGGATAACACTCCCTCATCTTATATGGCAGGAGATGCTGAACAATCTCCCTACAGACGAGGAGAAACATAGAGGAAGCAGAAATGTGGTTCTACAGAAGGATAGTGAGAATTCCATGGACAGAGTGACTAAGCAACAGGGGAGTCATAAAGAAAATGGCAACAGAAAGGATATTTTTACTCAGAATAAGGAAAAGCTGAAATTCCTTGGACGCATAATGAGGAAAGAGGGCTTGGCAAACTTAACCCTCACGAGGCATATTGAGGGAAAGAAAGATAGGGGAGGACAGCGAGTCACTTACCTGTCGAGCTTGAGTGAATGGATAGTGGAACAGGGGCGGGAGCTTTATCAAAGGAGGAATAAATGCTAAGGGCTACAAGGGGTAGGATGTTATGGAGAACCATGTCCTGAAGGGACGTGGCACATAGAAGAATATTCTAAAATAACTTTAAAAAAAAGAATTCTCGATTTGGTCAGATTAATAGACAAAAAAAAACAAAAAAAACAGACAACTCTTACATATGTCTCATGTTGAAGATCTGGTTCCCGTACAATCACCGAAGTTAAGCTACGTCGAACCTAGCCAGTACTTAGATGGGTGACCGCTTTGAAATACTAGATGCTGTATGGTTGCATGTGCGAGTGGTGTAATGGATAATGCCTCGGAACTGTTAATCGTAGAGCCGAGTTCCAATTCCAGTTGGGTTCGTTATATTCACTTACACGCAAAGACCCTTACGAAAGGTGTGAATCCACGTTTTCTCCCCCAGCTATGGATTAATCAGTAAGACATGCATCACTAAATCATTATTATCTCAAAAAAAATTCTTATAATCTAAAACTATTTTGTGGTTTTAAATAACCTGCAAAGAGTAGATAAGCCGTAAAAAACGAAATAATCAATCAACAATTACACATGTTTATACAAATGGGGTACACATGAAATAAGCGGTTAATATTTATATCGAAGCTAACAAGAATATTGAAGAATACCTATCTTCTTATGGCTGTCCAGTTTACTGACAATGTTGTGCGATGCAGGGGTATAAATACAAAAAGGCAGAGAGAAAGAAAGAGAGAGAGAGAGAAAGAGAGAGAAAGAATTTGTTAGGCCTTTTTCAAAAACTTTCTCCATGTTCATTGAATGAATTGACATCATGCGAGAAAAGAACATTGCAAAGTTCAGATGACTCCTATTGAACCTCATATATATATATATATATATATATATATATATATATATATATATGTACTAGTTTAAAAGCTTTTTAAGCTAGCTCCTGCTGAGGGATCTTGATTGGACCTTTGGCCCAAGGATGACACTTCATGCATTGAGTACATTAAATTTTATTAAACTTGAACAATATTTTTCAAACAACAGTTTTCATCAAAACAATGATATAATATATGTTTGGAACTTATTGCAAAGCTGTATGATAAACAACATTTTTTGTTTTCCCATTCGGGGTCTGTACATACAGCTTGTTTCCATTCACAACTCTAGAACAACAAACATAGGACAGGCCGTGAGAATAGCAGGGTTCCATCAAATAAAGTCCAGTTACTTTCAATGATTGTCCTTGGGACTTTATTGATTGACATTGCATAGGTCACTCTCACTGGAAGCTGAAGTCTTTTGAACTCAAAAGCAAGATCTGGAGGAATTAAGGGGATTCTTGGAATTAAAACTCTTTCCTCATTTCCTGGACCAGTAAGGATCTCTGCTTCCAAGAGATGAGGAAGCATCTTCTTAACAATTAAACTTGTTCCATTACAAAGCTTTAGAGGATCCAGATTTCTCAATCGCATAACTGACACATTTTCTTTTAGTTCCAGCATCTGTGAAGGCATTCCAGGAGGATTCAATGAGTTCAGAAATTCACTTAATTTACTGCCTGCTCTTGTTCAACCACGGTGTCAATGGAAAAGAACTTCAAGCTTTCTTTTGGAATTTCTGTTGATGCTATCCACAGTTTGATTCTTGGGAGCTAATAAATATGGCCCACTCACGAAGCCAGTTTGAATCCATGAAATGGTGTTTAATGTTTGGATAAAAATGGTTAATCAAGTCTTGGATACTTGCAACTGAAACTCCACACCCATCAGGAGTGAAGCATCTCCATTTTGGTCGATTTTGATGGTTCCATTTCCAAGCTGCAACAACAAAGCAGCAAATCTTCCTGCTTCAAGGTCACCTGTGATTCTAACTCTCATGTTTGTTTTCAGGCTGAGTCTTTGAATATGGCTCCAGATTTAAGAATTTTTCAGGTAAGCATTGATTTCCTCAGCTGGAGTTCCAGAGAGTAGCACAGTGCTACCTTCCATGATTTCGGAATTCTGTCTAATGTCTTTGAGTGTTTAGTCCAGGGCCTCAAATGCTCACTTGTGTGTCATCGTACATTCATCCCAGACAATGAAGCTTGTCTCCTCCCAGTAGCTTAGTCAGATTGGTTCCTCTTTCGATGTTGCAAATAGGGGTTTCAATGCAGTTCAAATCTAATGGAAGTTTAAAGGTTCTGTGTGCTGTACGCCCTCCAGATAAGGGGACAGCAGCAATGCTCGGTGTACTTTTCTTTGGAGCCTCACTGCAGATAAAAGAAGGTTATTTACGATAGTTTTACCAGTATCTCCAGGTGCATTCAAGAAGAAAATCCTTCCATTGTTGTTGTCGATGTCATCAAGGACCTTCTGAGACATTTGCTTTTGGTCTTGGTTCAACAGAGGCTCATTGTTTTGAACACATTGCCGCTTGTTCATCTATGTTGTATCCTGTTTTTCTTAAAATTTATCTGTTGATTTGTCTAGTTTTTCTGTTTGGATTTGACAGACCAAAATTGCTGAGATCTCTTTGAGCCACATCTATCACTTAGTCTTCAATTTCACAGAGAGTTAAATTTTCAATCTGAGGATTCAATTCCAATCCTGGATGAGCATATATATATAATTATTTATTCGAAAATTATAACATAAACATGTTATAAATCACTACAAAAATAGACATTTTGCTTCAATACTTCTTCAACACATTTTATAGTATGATTTAATATTTATTAGTTAGAATGAATTCTACTTTAGTCTAACCCCAACATTAAAGCATTAAATAATTATTATAACCTTAAAGTCCGCTGTCAAGTTTTTTGAATTCTCATATTCTTGTATTTTGATTGGTCGTTCCAGCTTATGTAACAGCGTTTCCCCTTGCGAGGGGTATTTGATTGATTTGAACCTTTTAAAACCCTTTATTCTACATTCAACATCATCACTTGATAAGACACCAGAAGTGTTGAAACAAAATGTCTATTTTTGTAGTGATTTTATAACATATTTATGTTATAATTTTCGAATAAATAATTATATTTGCTCTACTCTGTATTGAGCACTCTTTTAAGAATAGTATTTGTTAGTTATTGGAATTTATTCCGTATACACCAATCCTATACATGGATATATATATATATATATATATATATATATATATATATATATATATATATATATATGTAAGTATAGGGTTTGTTCAAATGTCTGGCGGAGTGAATTGCGTCATAGTAATCTTTTTTTTCTCACAGACGGTGCCCAATTGACTCTACTATACTGTATATATATATATATATATATATATATATATATATATATATATATATATATATATATATATATTACTTATACAATGCGTTAAAAATCCCTTTCTCCGTGGCGTACGCCGATAGGCTAGGAGTAAGAATCTCCGAATCTCTTTCTTTTTTTGTTTGTATCTCGTCATTCATGTGTCCACCCCTTTAAACTAGAACTTCTGACACATTCCGTTCGATTAGGCATTCGAATAAGTATCATCACCTCCGGTTCTCTCCCTTTGATCAGTATAGTATCTGTGTCCTCTGTGAATATATTACACCCACCACAAATACATAGGAATACACGTTTTTATATGTGAGTGTATATGTGTGTATGTACGTGGGTGTGTTCGTGTGTGTGTGTTTGTGTGTGCGTACGTGTATGCGCCCGTGTGTGTATGCGCTCGCGCGCGTGTGTGTGTGTGTGTGTGTGTGTGTGTGTGTGTATTTCTTGCTATTCTCGTTCAATCTCCGTTTTTCTCTACTGCCGACCCTTCTTTCTCCCGCTCTTTTCTGGAAGAGACTCGATGAGCACTCAAGTGGTTTGGGAAAAAGATGGCTGTCGAAGAAGCGATCGATTTTCCTGCAAAAAAAATAAAAAAATAAATACATAACACTTAACAACCGACCCATGTTCGGTCGATACATAGATTCTAAATTGTAGCAGTGAGCGTTCTCCGTTTGAAAGAAGAAAAAACGAATAAAAAAACAACTGTTATAATCAATATTTATGTGAAACAATTTTTAATGATACGTGCTTTTGAGGGTCGGCATGTAATTATTAGCGAAAGAAACGCTAAACCGAATGCAAAATAATAATAAACGAAAAAATAGAAAATAAAAAAATGTATTTAACAGTGACCCAGCAGTCGGTAAATCAAACACTTCATTCAAAGATCATATAGGCTTCTCGAATGTTTGTATTGAATTTAAAGACGAAAAAAATAAAATGCCGGGTGCTTTTTATGAGCTGAATTGAAAAGAATAAATAAATAAAAAGTATGTCGAATGTGATAAATAAAGAAAAAATATAGACATTTTGAGAGAAAATTCAGCAAGCATCCGTGCCACTGCGGGGATAGCTCTATGGTAAATATTTTTGACTCATGGTTTCAAAATGGGAACTAGTGTAATGTTAACAGCATCTGATATAAATACGTGAATACATTTTTCATAGGTAAAATAATGGTTTATTTATTCCCAGACTTCGTTCAATTAACGCCGGCCAACCAATAGGTATGTGGTTTTGAGTTTTTCTTCGAACGTTCGATTTTCTCGCAATTATGCAATGACCTCCCTCTCTATTTTCCACTCATGATTCGGGCCTTTATATAACACTCTCTATCATCCTAACTTTAACTGTATTCACTTCCTGTTATTTTTTATTTCTTTGTTTTTTTAATTATTTCACCGTCAAGCAAAGTGAAAATGCACTAGTTTGCAGGGGGGGGGGTTACAGAGAGTGAAGGAGAGAGACTGAGTAAAGGATAAAAGATAAACGGAGTTCAAGACGACAAAAGATGGCGACTGACATTGCATTTAAATTTTTGAAGATTGTAGTTATCAAGGAAGCAAAAAAAAAAATACGGAAAGGAGTTCCACAGGCGAGACGTGCGAGGAAAGAAACTGCTGGAGTAGAAGTGGCGATTACATTTACTTAATTCAACAGTAAAAAGGTGAGACCTAGATGCCAATCTAGTAGCACGCTTAAACACAAGTAGTCCAGGAATCATGGGAAAAAAAGCTCGTTAATCAGTAGCCATGAAAATATTTGTAGAAAATCCAGAGGGAAACCTCGTTATGTTGGTGAGAAAGTGACTGAAATCAATATGGCAAGTCAGGGTCGATTACATTACAGATCTTTTTTTGGATTTTGTCAAGAACCTCAAGATGAATAGCAACAGCACCAGACTAAATATGGCAACAGTATTCAATGCACGGACGAATGTAAATTTATAAATGTGCAAGATGAACCCTGGCGAGAAAAACAATCTGGCACGGCACAGTCATCCAA